CTCGTGTTCACATTCACTCTAGAGCTCTAATTGATGATTAAAAACCTCGACAAAATTTGATCGAAAAACAATACTTGAAATTGAAATTCTTTCGCTTCAGAGAGATGAATTAAACAATGAACACCCCGCCGGGTATTATACAGTGAAATACAAAGATGAAAGTAGAAAGCTCGTCCCAGCGAGAGAAGCTCGATTTAAATATGATGAATGAGAGAGAAAGAGAGAGTAGGTATTCTATTCTACTTGAAACTGAATTAGAGGAAAGATCGCTCATTCCTGAGCCAGAATATTGTCGTAATTAAAGAATTTCAGCATCGCGAGTTTAAAAATCTAGCTATTCTAAATCGGACGTCGCTATTGGCGGTGTCTCGTTGCGAGCAGAACGAAGATTTGGCAAAACAGGAGACACAAACCGGGACACCAAGAAACATCCTACACGACGTAGGTAGCAGAATGGAACATCGTTTCCAGCTTCTAGAAGAATTTAATTCTCCATCGTTGGTCGTTGGGTCTGTTTCCTTAAACTTACTTAACTAACGTTCCTCGAGACCCTAACGTTACTGCTATTACGTTGATTGATCAGACATTGGTACAATCGATTCCATTAAGCTATCTAGCTCGTACTATATAATTTTTCTTTTCTTAACAAACTTCCCTCCTCGTGCTCGTATCATACATTAATGTACAAATTACAAAGACGCAGCTACGCTTCTCAAAATGTAACGTAAGATTCTAATGCTCGTAGGTGCATCCGTTGAAAATATTTACACGATAAAGAGCTTCAGCTCAGTAATTATACATACAGTGATAGGAAACTACTGAAAACTACTGGACTTCACTAAACAACAAATGTCCCTTGCTTATATTTGAATGTTCCAGCACCGTGCATCGCAGAATTTATTTGAAAAGTAAGTACCAGTTTCCCGTACTCGTAAGATCTCATCTAATCCCCCCGCCCCCCTGTTTCTCTAGGTACCATCTGCAACATTCCACGATACACGATGAAAGTGCCCAAGCCAGTTTTAGTAGTATCAGAAACTTGAATAAATAAAGATTGAATGCCAATGTCCGATCGAATGTGCCGACCGAACGGCCAACGAAGAAGTCGTCGATGTTCCACAAAGCTTAATGTACCTGTCCGTCTAATTTTATGCATTACGTGTGCCTGTGTAAGTATATGTACATGTACCGGCAGCATCTGATTGCTAATCAATATGATCAACCGGTTCTCCGAAGAGACAAGTCGTTCCATAGTCGTGTGTTTTATACCATAGCTAATGGTTCGTGTATACCATAGCTAATCGATCGCAGGTGAGTTTAGCGTTAAGTAAGAACAGTTACAACACAGGCATTGCTGTTACGCTACGTTGACTAGGAGGCTTCACAACGTGACCTTGGTTTTGTTCTTCCTGAACGCGAACAGGATCTTCCGGCGGCGTCTCTTCAACTCGTCGTTGTCCGCCGTGGAGTTCGAGTCCGTCGACAAGGTCTCGTCGTCCACGGCCGACTGCGTCTCCCTCAACGCCTTCCTGTTGCTGCTCGTGGTGCTCGTCGCTGTCGTGGAATTGATACTGGTGGTACTCGCGGTGGTACTCGGACTAACTTTCTGCTGTCCTGATCGATCCTGGTTCGACGAATCCAGCGAATTCTCCGAGTAAGACGTCTTCGGCAGGAATGATGAGATAGTCTTGTCCTCGACCGCGAGGAGCATGTTCGTGTCCTGGCTGTAAGAACGGACAATGCTGGATGATTTCTCCTTGCTGGATCCTCTGAACGGCTCGTCCAGTCCATCGCCGACGGTGAAGTACACCACGTTACTCTCCGGTGGCGTTTCCTTCCCGGTCTCACTGCTCGACGAGTCTGGAGGAACCGACGACTCTTTCCACGTTAGGTTCTCTAGCGTACCTGTAGATTAAGATTGAATTTCGTTATACTTTATATATGCATCGGCGCACGCATTTTTGATTTCATGATGGCCCTTCATTTTCCAGGTCCAGGTTTCTTTGAACATTTGCTTCTATTCGATTGGCGGCTGGGTTAATGTGAAACTTTCGATGAAGCTGATCAATTGTTATGATATGAACAAATCAACGTTAATGCAAGTCAGGGATTAAAGAGGTCAAAGAGATTTTGCTTCAAGAATATGCATTCCTTTGATGCCTGAGGGATACTGATTTACTGATATCATTGGCATTTCAATATAGAAGATTATATCAAGAGAATAGCTACAAGTACTATATTTGTACGGCCAATTGTAATTTTCATGCACTAATGTTACAATCACTTAATGTCAAAAGGTCAATTCCATGCAGTATCCAGTTTGTGGAAGGAAGAAGAGAAACAAACAACACAATGAACAGTACTCTCTTATATTCTACAGTATAATATAAATTTTGTCGCGATATTTTACTTCGTCACAAACATCGGTTGAATAAAACTAGGAAGTCGTTATTTAAAAGAACTCGCAATGCATGAAAATTGACGATCTATGCTACAAAATTTATATGTTTGTTTCCAAGAAGATTCTTCCATTTCGTGTTCACGCCAATTCTGCGAAAACTTGACATGCTCCTCAGACACCATACTTTTATCACAGAGCGCAGCTTGGTCCCTCGTTTTAGCGAAGAAGAAAAAAAAAAAAGAAAAAAAAAAAAAAAAGAAAACACACACACAAAATTACAAAATTCTTTCTACAGATAATCTTAATGAATCTCTTAATGATAACATCATTTTAAACGTTTCATTTTAGAATGATAAAGTTAAAAGAATACAAGAGATCACAGAGAGAAAAATGTTAATTCTTTATTATTATAACTAGGAGAAATGTCTTTATTATTCCTGTTCAAAGAGAATATCCTCTAATGATCTGTCTGGACTCGGTTATTCTTAATAGCAATATTCGTTAATCTCGTTAGTACATCTCTGGCGCGTTCCAGCAATTTTGCATATAGCATTTAAGGCTTACAAACTACTAAGTTGTCTAAACTTAAAACTTCCGGTTTGCAGGTAACAAAAGGCAGTCACACACAGATTCCACTCCCTGTCAGATGTGTGTAATTTCAATTCAACAGTCACTCACGAGCCACACAGATGTTAATTAGATTATCTTTGGATTAGGAGTGTGCGGTATTTTAATTTCACAAGATCTCCAGGAAGTCCAGAAACAGATCATCCAATGGCTAACGTCGCTCGGCAACGGTGTTGGAATTAAATTCACATACTCGGTCGAATAATTGATCAGATTGGAGCAATTGATCACCGCGACTACTTAGGTCATACAACAACAAGTCTTATCCACGTTGGTTTCTCGCACTCTTGCTCGATTTATTAATTACGATCTATAAATTGTACACAATAAAACGTCGAGAGGGAGACATAACATACATGTTGCAATAGTCAGACAAAACAATGTATACACAATCCTCCGTTTCTCGTTTCTTGATCAGCACGCGCGTTCTGTCTGTATATATGCGGCTCTACATATACATACGCACGATTCATTGGCGTTGGGCATTAAGCTCGAGTTTATAATAGCAGGAGAAGAAATTGCCACACGATTCGCATGGAATCAAACCAATTCGAGGATGTATTTTGTTACGTGACTGTCTGCCTGCGTGCGTGTGTTGCACCTACAACATCCGAGTCAAATCCGCGGTCGTATATAGTATCGCATCTAATTTTAATTGACTCTAATCTTAACCATGACGCGAATCTCCCGAGAAATAGAATTCGTTTCTTGGCATCATGTGTCGCCCGATCAGAATCCCAGGGATCGGAAATCATAGTCTATTCGAGCGTTTGCTAAGTCAAAGCTCCCGCCCCCGCCGCCTGATATCGATATCTATACTTGTTCTTTCACTACGCATTTTGAACTATTAAACAGATCCTACAAATGACACAGATTTATCTAGATTAATTACTCTGCTTAAGATTATTGCTACTAGATATATATGTTGATGGACATTGAAGTTTCCACGCAGAAAGGAAACAACAAACTGAACGAACAATGAACCGAAGGAGGAGGCAGTGACGACGTGGTCATCTGCAATCGAAAATCTCCCGCGATGCACGTGATATATTTAATGGCCGGTTATAGCTTCAACTATAGCGAGCAATAATCACGAGGGGGGAAGAAGAAGAAGAAAAAAAAAGTTGGAAATTGCAGACGACACGCGAGAGACATGGCACCTCCAGCAATGCGAACGCGACTCGTCCAATTAAGACGGGATGCAATAGTTCGTCTTTAATTCGAACTATTAATACGGAAGGCTGTTGTGCAACGCATCTGGCAAAATTGAAACGTTCG